ATATCAACCCTGAACTATAAATATTCTTTATTAGCCTCAAATATCTGTTTCTGCTTGCCATTCATTGTTTTAAGGGATCAGTTAGTTTATTTGTCCTCAATCATCAGACTGAGATTTTTCCTCCCTGGCTTGAAACAGTTCAATTGTACTTGATACTTTCTAATTTGAAAATTGGTTTACTATGTATTGTACCTTGATTTCTAGAAGCATCAGTTTCTAAAATTCCCTCTTGACGAAAGTTTCTCTCATTCCACTATACCATTTGTAAAAGATTTTTGTATAGATTTCCATCTAACTTCATCTGTGACTATTAGAACTATTTCATTATTAGCTTTAAGTACCAGAAAACTTTCCTAACCGAAAAAAAATCCTGATTTTTCTATTTAAAAAAAAATCATTTCCATTTTTGTGGTTATTTTGGCTATTGAAATCTTGACTGAGATGTTTTTGCTTGGAATTATTATTGCTATTATCATGTATGGTCTAGACTAGAGGTCCCCAATCTTTCCAGCTCTGCAGATTGGTAGTAGCAGCGGCAGGGCGGATGGTTTTGCATGCACACTTACCCCTTGCACAAATGGAGCTTTGCATGCACACCCACTTGTACGGCCTGGTTTCCGATGGACCATGAATCAGTACCAGGCTACGGACAAGGGATTTGGGACTCCTGGTCTAGATTGTAGTCCTATTTTACACTTTCCTATCCTTACCACTATTGCCTCTGCTTCTGTCTATTATGTCTATTATTGAAAAACCATGGAATTAACTGGGATCTACTAAACGGAAAAGTAACTGGGATCCTATTAGTATTTAGGATTGAGAACATCTGGGATCAATGATGTTTAATGTTTCATTACTTGCTGTTTTCTGCCCAGATGGAATTCCCTCTATTCCCATAGAGTTTCAGTTATATATTTGGAATTATAAGCACAACCAGAAACCCATCACTGGGAAGGCAGCCAGGTTGGGATGCCGAGGGGGATTGCTAAGAATCTACTCTTCCATTAATTTCTTACATTGTTCACGTCTTTTCATTTTAAAGTAAGTTCTTTACGTTACCAGCTTTTTTGATAAATTGAATGTCTTCTGGCATTGAGTCTTACTAATAAGTTGTCAATTTTTTTTGACATTTTCAATTAATCTTTTCAGACAGTAAACATTCAGCATTAAGTTATTATTTTGATGATAAAAATGATATACATTTAATAAATCTACATAAAAATAGCTGATCTAGTAAATGCATCTAGAATTAGAATGTTACAACATATCTTGGAAGGATATAAATATGCTGCACATTAGATATTAACAGTCATATAATATGTTATGCATTCAAATACATCAATATTTGTTGCCTTTAAAGCTACAGTGTGGGTGGAAGAAGCTAAACCAGAAATGAGCAGATCTAACTGTAAGCTACTTTGCATATTGTCATTTGAGTATAAATTTAGAGCTGACTTTGACTCAATCCACCAAACATAAGAACTGTGGAAGTCAGGTAAGACACCCAGGCTAATAGCAAATTTTGCATGGCTTTCATTGTATTAATGTTAACCTTGGATTTTTAAATATCTAAATTATACATGAGGTTAAATACTTCAGGGGCTTTTTTATCCTCTAACGCAAAAGATGATTTATACTAATGTGATGCTCTAGAGCTCAAATGTTGTACAATATTTTAGAATTTGCTAAGTGATTTTGGAATTTCTCCTTTCACCTTGTAGGAATCAATAATTTAGACTTATTTTCTAACTCTAGGAGTTGTCTGATATTGGAGCAGTTAACCTGAACCTTCAACTGAGATGAGGTAGCTTTCTTAAATGTTCTGAAGTAATTAGTGTATTTAAACTCATTATGTAGATTTCTTATGTACCACAGAAGTCCTAACAATATCGTTTGGCTAAGGTGATATGATTTGATGGTTACTTTTACATACTTAAAGTAAAATGTCTGATGGTATGATGATATGAAGAAATCTTCCATACAAGAAAGGTTTTGCTTGCTTATATGATTTCTTATAAATAAGCAAATCAATGCTTAAGAAAGGATAAATGTTATTTCTGTACTGTTGATATAGAATGTTGCAACATAGCATAAGACATGCACATAATACAATGTTCTTTATTATTGGAAAAACTGTATTATGGATAAATATTTCATTAAATATTGTCCAAACAGAATATACTTGCTAAAAGCTGAGACACAATCTAGCCAATATGAAGAGTATTTATGTCTGTTTGATTTTATAGAACAGTTACTAATATTGTAAACTCTGTAGAACATCCCCTTTCCCTGGAACTAATTATAAGATGAGCAAAGCTAGGTATAGACTCAAATCATGAGGACTAAACAAAAGAAATAACAAGGGAAATTATTTCTAGTAAAGCTTAAAATTTGTGACGCTTGGTCAATCTTAACATTTGTGAATCAAGATAAAGAGCAAAGATTTACTGGGCTGTAAACACTGGTCACATATATTGGCAATGTAATCACATCCCTTTTTCATTCAAATTATTATAGCTAAGAGGTCAGGACTACATCTGTACATTCTCCCACATATTTTCATTACATCTGAAGTGCACTAAAAATTCTGATAATCACATCTAGTCTTAGGCAACCTGTGACTCACTGTGCTCATACGCATTTGAACTTTTCAGCTTTACCTAAGGCACCATAGCCAGGAAGATCTCCTGGGATGCCATGGATAAATTGCCAATCTTCAGTGACTCCTACGTGGGACAGATGTCCAGATTTTGCTATCGAGACCTTTTTGCCACTTTTCATTTGTGCCCAGAGGACCTCAGTCAATTCAATGGCCCTGAAGAGTTACCTCTACTTCCATTAACAGCAGAACCTCCAACTCCTGAGAATTTCTACAGCAATCCTTGTGGCTTCCCATTTCAAGTCTCCTGTGGAAATTTTGGCCGATGTGACTACTCTTGCAGCCCAGCATTCATCCGAAAAAGAAATGAAAGGGAAAGGCAGAGAGTTAAATGTGTCAATGAAGGCTATGCCAAGCTTAGACACCATTTACCACCAGAATACTTAGACAAACGGCTCAGCAAGGTTGAAACACTCAGAGCTGCAATTAAATACATCAAGTTTCTCCAGTCTCTACTTTCTGACCATTCAGAGGAGGATTGCAGAGGCCTTCACCATTCCCCCCTCAAGGACTACTCAAAATGATCCATCATCAGGGACTTTATAAGCTCTTCTGCACAGGGCAAATGCAATCAGATCTGAAATATCTTGCTTGTATAGATCAAAATTAAAAAATATCAAAATAAGAAATATCTTCTCCCTAGAGATCAAAATTAGTTGCAAGATTAACATTGCTAAACGGTATTACATATGCCTGTGAGATATTTAGGGTGTGCAGATTTTAAATAATTACATCATCTAGAATTTGAAATGATTCTTTAAAATGAGCAATAATATGTGAGTAATTTTTATTACAATCGGAAAGGAAATAATCCTACTGTGTCATTTCAAGCAGTTCATTTTAAGTAAGTATATATTTTAATAAAAAGGATTGAAATATTCTGGTATTTTGTGAAAATCATTAATTTTATTTACAGTATTCATTTGTTAGATTTTTTTAAATCCACTCAATAATTAAAATTTCCCTGAAGGTGACAAATAAATTAGAAATAAGGTGACAAATAAGTTTATAAAGTTGCTGGATATTTGGATACAAGGCAAAAACTGGTATTGTAATTTTACCTCTTAAAGCAAACTGCTTGATTTGTGTAGAGAATATAGTACTTTAAAAAATACACCAAGAACAGAGCCCTATGGATCTTGGGATACTATATTTTATTTTTAAAGCCACTATTTTGACTTTTTTTTAATCACACCTTATGGACTCTCCTGTTGTAACTGATAGAGGCCTTTTTTTAGATTTGGCCCGGTTGTGGGATAAAAAAACAGACAAATATACTAGGTTTCAATTTTCTGAGATTCTTCCTCCAGTGGGATCAAAACACAGGTGGGTTCCTACCAGTTTGGACCGGTTCAGCTGAACCGGTAGTGGTTTGGCCTCCTGGGTTGCTGGAACCGGCAGGGATCCAGGTCTGCCATGCCCCTATGGCACTGCCATCTTGTTTTTTTGCTTCTGCACAATTTTTATTGCACTGCACATGCGCGCACGCACAGTACACTTATAAGTAAACTGGCAGTAGTGCCTGCTGGAACCCTCCCCTGGATCAAAATCATTCATTGCTGAGATATTTTTAAAGCAATTTCTACTGAGTATGAATAAGATGACGGTCAAAGAAGGCTGCCTGGAACCCAGAGGTGGATTCCTACCAATTCACACCGGCTTGGGCAAACCAGTAGTGGTAATTTGGCCTGGGTCACAAAACCAGTAGTGACCCAGGCTGGCCATGCCCCAAAACTGGTTCCCCAGTCTCTGCTGCTATTGCCAGCATGTTTTTTTAGCATGTGCAGAACAATTTACAGTGAACTGTGCACATGCATGCAATGAACCAGTACCAACGCTGGTAGGAACCCACCCCACCCCTGCTGGAACCATAATAACTTTATTTAGCAATTAGGTAATTAGCACAAACTGGATTTAGCCTACAAAAAGTTCTGGGAGAAGCTGCTTCTGCCAGTTTTATTTAGACCTCATCTTTCCCTCTTGAAAAAAGAGTGTAAAGGATGGAAGGATTGAGTAGGATTGCAATAAATTGTGGATTAAATGCTTTTTCTGCAGTAGCACCATGGGTCCTTCCCCTGAAGGAAGGCTTCATTGCACAGAGATGTAGGATGTTGAACAACATTTTCTGTCAGTCCCCAGTGTTCCTTTTCTGATCTTGCTTAGTTTTTGGCTGATGTCAGTAACCTGAGAAGGAAGACTGAGACCAATTCTTGCTGGTGTGTGTGCGTGTGTGTGCGTGTGCTTTGCTCTTTTACATTATATTCCTGGTAGCAATGAGCCCATGGCAACCTCCTTAGTAACAGAAAACATTAGCTACCAACTCTGCCCAACAGCAAAGCAGTTCAATATTGCCAAGGTCAGTCCAGTTCAGTAATTCTCAGTACAGCGGACTCTGGTGAGTTGTTTTTTAAAATTGCTTTTACATTGATAACCTCTCCAACTTTCCAGATCGTTTTACAAAAAAGCTACCTGATATACCCAGTACTATTTCTGCCAGTACTGTGCTTGTTAGCTATTGTCACTTAACTTCATTCATTCAAGTGAATACTGCTATAAGCTTCTAGGATCTTCTACCAGGCGAAACTTCTTGAAAGATGCTGGTGTAGCAAAGTATACCTATGCTACTCTATAGTTCTTTATTATTTAAGAATTATGGTTTTTAAAAAGGCTAATGCTGTAGTATTTTTCTTAGACAATTACCTAGGGGCTAGTCAATGAAATAAAGTTACCAGGGATTCAATGTTAGTGATGCTTTTTGTTACTCAACAAAACAAAACAAAAATATTATAAATGCAGATTGATTCCCAGATACATTCCTGAGAATTTAAATTTGTCTAAAAGAAACATATCAGAGTTCATAAAACACACAGAAGGCTGCTCTGCATTGATTCAGCAGTACTATTTGGGCATTGATGGAGAAAGAAAATGAGAATACTGGAGATGACTTTTTAAAGAAAGAATAATTGATAAATAATTGAAAAATCAACCCTGCTTCATACTTTCATTCCATCCTAACATGCAGAGAACAACCAATGGGAAGTGGTCATTCACAACATGTAATTGATAATAACCCAATTACGAGGCAGGCAAACAAGTAAATGTTCTTCAGAGAATTAACAGGGGTAGTTAGAAGACCATATTAGAGAGAGGCTGGTAAAAGTGAAATTCAGGCTGCTTGAATAAGCTTGTTAGTCCTACAAACGTATCCTGGGCTCAGCAACTTGGAAGTAAGTTTTAATGATTTTATAATGATAGTTAAGGATACTTAACTACTCATAGACATACAATTATCCTGTTACATGACAATTATCTAAATTATCTAAGGCAGTGTTTCTCAACTTTGGCGACTTTAAGTCCTGTGGACTTCTGGCTGGGGGATTCTGGGAGTTGAAGTCCACAGGACTTAAAGTCGCCAAGGTTGAGAAACACTGATCTAAGGCATGTTACATGATGCATTGCATTCTTTGTTGGCTGAACTCAAGATTCTTTTAATCAGAGCATCTCTTGTGGGAGAATATCACCTAAGCCAGGACATCCCACGAGCCGGATGCATCACACGCTGGTCACACCCACGGGCAGTTTAGCAGAGGGGGAAAGTCACGATACATCATGTGACGCCGCCATGACACCGCGAGTTTGACACCCCTGATCTAAGCTCTTTTTTTAACCTGTGGAAGTTCTTTCAAAATTATTTCTGGAAGATGAATAAAATAATAAGCCAATGCTTGCCAGCACGGTTATGTTAAAGCCATCATCTACTTTCTTTATCCTGACAAACTATACCAAGTCAAATCTTTTTGTCAGCATATCTGCTAAAGTTTGAGATGCCTGAAGCTGCTATCACTTTGTAAATATTACTTTGACAGTCACAAAATAATGTCTCACTGCCTGTCACTGTGAAGTCTCTTTATTTTGAAAAGTCAGTCAGGATAAATGCGGAGAACAGTGAACAAGTCAAAACATTTCTTCAAGCACTTACATAAAGTGCTTTCTGTATCATGAGCTCTATGATGAAGACGGTCTTTGTAGGAGAGATGCCCATATTTTCTGGTAATTATAGGAACCTGGGAATCAGCAATGAAATATTGCAATAATAAAGATGCATTTGCCATGTGATTTTCTTTGTGCTTTTTGTTCTCAAGAACAAAATGGGTCCTATAACATGTTTTCCTAAGTCCTGTCAGCAATAAGATTCAATGCCAGCCTGTTTCTGAACTGCACTTAAAATGCTTTGATTTTTACATTTAAACATTCAAGAAACTTGCGGCCAGGTTACCTGACAAGTGGTTTCTCCCCATATGGTCTTACATATCTGAGCTAGGTATCCCCAACAAAGGAGATACCACAATGGTCATGTGTAAAAAATGGTCAGAAGTCGCTATTTTTCAGTTCGGTTGTAACTTTGAATGGTCATTATAAAAAAACTGTTGTAAGTCAAGGACTATCTGTACTTGCACTACTATAATAATCTGACTGAAGCAAACTCACAGGCCTGCACTGCAATTCTGTGTCATACCGAGTTCAGTAACATTTTCTTCTAAGCGAACAGGTGCAACTTGCAAGCTTACTTGTACTAAGAAAAGAATTTTCATATATTTTATGAATACATTACATTTACCTGTAAAGCTCCCAACCCCCCACCCCTCCAGTCATTTTGGAGCTATTTCCAGACATCAAACATATTGCTCAATTATGCAAAATACTCGACCTGCCAACATTTTAGCATCAGAAACAGGGAGATGATTACCCCATTTGTGACTCACCATGATCAACATCTCTTTGTTAGTCTCCCAGCATACTCTGTCTGTCAAACCCCAAAGAGATGACCTTTGGGGGTTGATCCAAATAAAACATCCAAATTGTTTATGTGCGTTTCATCACATTAAAGCAGAGAGGAAACAAGACACTCCTAAAATAAGTAAATCCAGCAGTTGGGATTTGCAGAGCAGTTGCATCTCTCCCCACCCTCTCTCTTCCTCCCTTTGCTCCCTCTCTCTTTTTAAAAAAGGAATAAACTCAAATACCATGTTTTCCCAGTCTCTCCCCCTCTTTTCCCTTCTGACCAGTATAGAAACTACTATAGAAGTGCTTTCATTTATAAAGAAAGTTTTGTTACGTTGCTATTTGTAGAGCACAAGGTGCGTCCAACTGATTTCAAAGAAAGGAGGATTATAATTTTAGTAAGCATAAACAAATAAGCAAAACCAGATTGTCCTAAGGGCGACTGGAGTAGCTTCTTAAGAAACAAGAAAAACATTATTTCACTTCTCTCCTGACCACTGGTTATTATATAGAAACCAACAAGAAACCAAGAAAACATTCATAATTTTGCCTTATGTCATATGCACCAGAGTTGTAAATTATGATGGTAGCACATTCTTCAATCACTTAGCTATGCTCAAGAAATCCTAAGACCCTGGATGCAAAAGGAATAGCCAGCCCAAAGTCCACTTAGGCAGCAATGGCTAAGGTTAGTTTCTCAAACTTTGCAGTACCACGGCCCTCTAAAATAAATTCAGTGGTGGGATTCAAAAATTTTACTACCGGTTCTGTGGGTGTGGCTTGGTGGGCATGGCTTGCCTTGGCGCGCGTGGCTTAGTGGGTGTGGCAGGGAAGGATATTGTAAAATATCCATTCCCTCTCTACTCCAGGGGAAGGTTACTGCAAAATCCCCATTCCCTCCCAATCAGCTGGGACTCAGGAGGCAGAGAATACATGGGGGCAGGACCAGTCAGAGGTGGTATTTACCGGTTCTCTGAACTACTCAAAATTTCTGCTACTGATTCTCCAGAATTGGTTAGAACCTGCTGAATACCACCTCTGTTCCTGTTGCAATACAGTACTTAGGAGTCATGGCCTATAGTTTGAGAATCCTAGAGCTAATGTTCCTAACAAATTATTACGGGTAAAATGTCTATGGAGATTCTCAATCATCCAGGTCATAGTTGTCCCAAAGGTGCTTTTTCCAAAAGGCAACTGGACTTTCTTGGGGGGGGGGGTCCCCTTTGAAAACGTTTTTCTTCACATCCATGAAACTTCTTCAGTTCTAGCTCTACTTGAACTTCAGAAGCTTCTTGGATGAAAAACAGAACATTTTCAAAGGAAAAAAAACTAAGAAAATCCAGTTGCCTTTTGGAAAACACTTTTGGGATTATTATGGGTAATTTTTATCCTTAAATTGGCTGCAAAAAGATTGTGCTTCCAACAACTGGAGAAAAAGAATGAAGACATTGAATGAGCCTATTCAAAAGACAGTCTGGGGAATCTAGCATAAAGAACAGACGGATCTGGGAGGGATGGTATGAAGCAATTCAAAATTAAGTACATTGATTTGAAGTGTTTGGCTCTCAGGGTTTTTCTATGACATTTGCAGCAGTCTCCAGAACTTTGTTAACCATTGGTTAAGTATGAATCAGTTTGCAATTGCACTAAATATTTCCTTATATTTCTGAAAAGAAAAAAAAGATGTTCATCTCTAGATCCGTTATTTGTGGAGAAGAGCTTGATTTAAATATATTTTCAAGTAAAGAATGCACATTTGTATAATAGGCTATGCTCCTTTTTATTGTAGAGAGAGCCCTGAAAAAATGAGCGAATATACCTTGTCCTCTTGGCCATACCACAAGCACTGCTGTACGGTGCCCAGGCATGCTGAATCTTTTCACAGAAATGTCATAGTTAATCCCAGTTCCAGCTGCAGTGGCTGCTTGTTAGCGCATCCTTCCTATGGCATTAGCCCACTTCTCACAAGAAGGTAATAAAGAAACAAATAATATTAATTTGTTTAAAATTAGAAGAGATTAAGACATTAAACTCTGTCTTTCTATATCCCAGAATTCCACAAATATAGTCTTATACTGTACATTCTTGCTTTTTTTTTTTTTTTTATCCAAGCAGGTGGGGGCAATGCTTAGCAGAATTTGCTAAAGTGTGATTTTTTTTCTTCCTGGGACCAGGGGTGTCCACAGAGTATGATTAAAAGAAATCAAGAAGGCAGCCATGATAGTCCCATGGAATATGCATAAAAAGAGACAGAACATTTATTGTACTGGCGTGACTGTCAATTTGATATTTTTTTAACCACACCTGCAGACACACATGGATTTAAACTGGGCTTTAAACACGTGTAGCTTACATGTTAGATAACATTTATTGTTATGTGTGATTAGTTTTTGCTGTGGGGTTCTTGGCTAACATTCTTCCGTTTTATTTCAAGGTGTTTGTGTTGCAGCTGCTGTCCCTTTCTTCTTGATCCAAAATGTAGGGCAGGACAGAATTTGGGGAGATCACTGGATGTTGGTAGTCCTGTTCTGGCAAAAAAAGAAAATGACCCTTATTATTACCAAGGAACAATAATAAAAGATTTAGAGGCAAGTTGCAAGATTATTTTCTACATGGTTATAAAAGTGATTAAATGTACACCAACTAATATAAAGAAACTACAGAAATTCAACTAAATGCACTTACTCAAAATAACCATTTTTGTCAGTTTAGTGCAACAAGGGATCAGTGCATAGGGTTGTACGGATCCCCTTAATTCATACTGAATCAATCCAAGGACAGAGATAACAGGGCAAAGGAATCACACCAAGAGAAATATAATATAGAAATATAAGTGTTGTGGATAATAAGCTACTCAGAGTTGCCTGACAGTGAGACGAGTGGCATATACATTTATTAAGTAAATAAGTAAGTAAGTAAAATAAAATACATTTCATGTGATCTCATTGTGGGATGAATAGCCTTTGCTACCCATATAGTAAATGATGCCATCGCTTTTCTTGTAAAAAAAAGAAGAATAAACTAGAAAATGATGAATACTGTTGAAATCAATTGAAGAGCAAACTAGAAAGTTTAAACTACAATAACTAGTTTATTCTAGTTATGCTAGAATAACATAACTTGTTTATTCTAGTTATGTTACAAGATAAGGGCAATAAACATCAATTGTATTCATTTCCCAGATATCACAATTCCTCTCTTCTACTCACCAACCTCCAACTCTCACCCCGATCTTTCTCATGTTATTTTAGGACAGGCGCAAACAATGTTTAGAGCCTGTTAATCATGATATCCAGCCCCTCTTCCTTCTCTAACAAATCCTAGGGAATGCCTTCTAGCCAGTTATAACAGTGTAACTCTAACAACATCATTAGAAGACTTCGTGACAGTTGCCGGGTAATTTTTCCAACATTGACCTTTCTAGGTTTCATTTATTTGTTTAATACCACCGTGTACTACATTAGGAACATACAATTTATGCCAAGAATAAGCAAGTCAGTACCCTCCAGATATTTTCAATATCAACATCATACCAACAGTCCCAGCAGCAGGGGGGAATGGAAAGAGACGCCGGAAATTATCCAATTATTACAGAACACTAATTTATTTATTTCATGGCTTATACTGAGAACTAACTTTGTAGTATAATCTCACTCCAACTCTCTTCAACCCCTAATCTACATACACTAATAATAACCGTTGTGGCGCGGTGGTTAGTACTGCAGGCTAACTCTGCCAACTGCCAGCAGTTCGATCCCGACTGGCTCAAGGTTGACTCAGCTTTCCATCCATCCGAGGTCGGTAAAATGAAGACCCAGATTGTTGGGGACAATATGCTAACTTTGTAAACTGCTTAGAGAGAGCTGTAAAGTGCTATTAAGCGATATATAAATCTAAGTGCTATTGCTATTGCTACACTCAACTCCTTTATTCCCAGCCAAACAGAAACATGCCATCTAGGAAGACTACGGCAGGAGCAGCAACCTGAAGGGCACATGACTGAGGGAAATGGTTGTAACTAGGGGTATAAGATTACCTTATTAGACCTTTTTGTCAGGTTAAAACCAGTTCTTTTATTTCTTTGGTAGCACCAGAGTTCTAAGAGCGTTGTGCTATTTTGAAGATCTCGGCAACTAGTGATATTTCATAAATAGCATTATTGCTGGAAAGGTGGCAGGCGTGTTGATATATAAACCTGACAGTAGAAAAGAAAATCTGCCTTCAATTCATTAGTTGTTAGCACCTGAAACAAACATGGTATGTTCCTTCTGAAAAAGCAAGAAGCAGGTTTGTTTGCTCACCACACTCACTCAACATCCGATAACTCTGAAGAACCAGCTACTCAGAAGGCAGCGCCTCTGGAGTGCATCCAGCTTTTGTGTGACCAACTCAGCGCTCGGCTCTCATTCCACATACAAAGACAGAGTGTAGTTAGGAAAACAAACATTCTAATCTTTAAACAGCCCCAAAGCAGACAGAAAATACTCAAGGGGATGATGGGGTGAGAGGAAGAAAATCTTTTGATTTTATAGCCAGGTAGCTCAGTTTTCTTTTACTGCAGAATCAGCTATTCAAATAGTATGGATGTGTTGAGTTACCTTTCATAACATAATCCAAATTTTGGGGTGGGGTGTGGGGTTCTGCTGTATAGCATTCAGTTCAAAAGCAAAGATTTTCAGGTATTGTCATTTATGGTGATATTGAACTTATCAATTCTTCCTATAGATCAAAGAGCAATGAATTTTGGGGCCAAATTCTGGAAATGTTTACCTCAGAGGGAACCCCAGGTAGCCACCTGGAGTAGGATAGACTATGACAAACACATTTGGCATTATTTATTTTAGCTAAGACTGATCCACAGAGGGAAGATAAACATCGCAAAATAGTTTTTCTTATTTTTTAAAAAAATCGGTTTGTCGTTAAAGGATGGTTGATTGGTAATAGATTCTCCATTTAACATTTTCAGCTTAAAATGTATTATTTCTTGTGTTATGCCCAAAATGTCAGCCCTTCCAGATAGGCCAGATAGGAAACACAACCAGTTAATATAATTCAACTTTATTGTAAGGCAAATTAATGCAAGTCTGAAAATGCAAATCTCCCGCAGTCACCTTTAACAGTTTGATCAATTAGCATTGGTCTTTCCTAAGTTTCTTTCTCGGACCATTAAGTGACTAGGAGTTCCTCTCTTTCTAATCTGATCCCTTCCTAGGTAGCATCTCTTCACTTTGTCCCTCAATGTCATTCCCACAAATCAATACACAAAATGATACTTAGAACTGAATAAATGATTTAATACCAAAGCAGCAGGAACTTTTGTTCATGTTGGATTCCTTTAGCTATGTCATCTTTTAACTATATTCAAAATTTATCTTGTATCTACTTTTTGTATTCATTTTTTGAAATTAGTTGAAAAGAATGCCTCTGTTTGCTTTTTCTTCTAGATAACCCAGGAAAGTAAAAGTGGTTGTAAAATATGGAAGAAAGCTGCATGACAAAGGAAACTATGAATGAATTTCACATATGAAATAAAATTTAATGGTTACTAAAAGGAGCCTTATATCAACTTTGCCTAATATATAGGTCAAACAGTCAAAGAGAAATTTAAGTAACAATTAAGTTGGGAGGTTATTTCCTCCCTGGAACAGGTTTATTTTTTCAAAAAAAGTGTTCTAAGTTATCAATAGGAACAATTTCCAATTATTTGTGCTATTTTTAAAAACATATTTTTTCTTTCTAATAGGAAGGTGAGCAAAGATCATTTCTGGTACAATTTTCAACGGGGCAAGATACACCTTATTTGCAAAAAACAGCCAGCAGGGATATCTTTGAATGTGTGAATGGAATGAGACATTCCATCCTGCCTGGTGATAAGGTGATGGCTCCTTGGGAACCAGAGCAGAAGAGGTATGGGCCAGGAACTGTCCTCCAGGGCATGGAGACCAGAGACCCTCTGCGAGGTAACATTGAAATTACTTTGTCATATACTTGCGGAATAGCTTTAAGAGAAGCATAGTGGTCTAGAGCTGGAACTGACAATCAGGAGGCTCTAGGTTTGATTCTAGGTATGGCAGATATTTCACTCTCTGGGTGCAAGGAGAAAATAATTACTGTGAACTCAATGTAGGTGTTAGGAAGGGCATCCGACCAATAAATGCTCAACTCCATTCAGTCACTCCAACTCCACCCCAATGCAAGGGATGATGGTGTCATTAAGAGAAAAAAGTACTTGGGGAGTAGCTTTAGGCTGTGTTTGCCAAGGGAAATAAAAATAGGCTGGTGCTTCTCTTTTAAAAAGAAGAAAATCTTTATTAGGATATTGCATTAAGATAGAAAGTTTAAAAACCTAATCTAGCTGCATTTGGATCTAGCCAAAGAATGAAAGGCCATATAGTTCGCTAGACCACATGGAACCTAGGACAGTACCTACCAGTGGTGGGTTTCAAAAATTTTTTGAACCTACTCTATGGGTGTGGCCTCCTTTGTGGGAGTGGCTTGCTGGCCATGTGACCTGGTGGGAGTGGCTTGCCGGCCATGTGTTTTCTTTCTTTCTTTCTTTCTTTCTTTCTTTCTTTCTTTCTTTCTTTCTTTCTTTCTTTCTTTCTTTTTTTTTCTTTCTTTCTTTCTCTCTCTCTCTCTCTCTCTTTCCTTCCTTTTGTCTCTCTGTCCCTTTTTCCTTTTTTCTTTCATCTCTCTCTCACTTTTTCTTTCTTTTTTCTTTTTTTCTTTCTTCCTTTCTTTTTCTTTCTCTTTCTCTCTCTGTGTGAATCTGTGTGTGTGTGTGTGTGTATGTGTGTGTCTACCTACCAAAGAAAGGACAAAAGATTTATGGGTGGGGGAGAGCAGGAACTGGAACTGGCTGGCGACTCCCCGGGGGAGAGCCTTCTCTGTTGCAGCTCCTGCCCTTTGGAACGACCTCCCCGTGGAGATCCGGACCCTTACTACCCTCCCAGCCTTCCACAAAGCCACCAAGTCCCGGCTGCTCCAGCAGGCCGGGGGGCTTGTGAAATATCCAGCCCCACGGTAACTGTGAATGTTGTATATTTTAAAGTGTTGTTTTGTCTATTTATCCCCTTCCCTTGTTTATTGTAAGCCGCCCGGAGTCCTTCGGGAGTGGGCGGCATACAAGATCAATAAACGAATGAACGAACGAACGAACTGGGTTAGCCATAAGCATATCAGTTTAACTGAAGAGGACATGTCAAAGAACGGAATCACAACACAAACTTTCATTACAACTATTGCATCTCCTGAAACTAAGACAGTTCAATGAGATTATACACCCCAAATTGAGGGGGTGTCTTCCAACCCCCTTCTCATAGGTGTGTGTATCTGTTCATGATTACTATCTCTTCACATAATTTTTCCCTCTTATGGTTAGTAGCTATGTTTGTGCTTTAGGCATTTTCTCAGTGTCGTGCTGTGAGGAGGGTTTGGTTGTCTTCCTTCTTGGCTTGAAGAGAAAGTCTTTTCAGTGACATCTCTTTGGCTCTTCTGAAAAGCTTACCTCTGACTCAACATCTATATTCCTTCTCACTCTGGCTTTATCCAAGCCTTTCTCCCTTCACCAAAACCGCCTCACAAGTGGAAGTCACAACTGAGAACATTCAGTACCAGCAAGATTCTGACTGCGGCACAAAGTGCTGGCTCATCTCGGCAGCCAATGGTGCCTATTTATCTACTAGCGTAGAACATGCTAGTAACTGACTCAGGTACCCTTTTCCTGACATGGATCACAGTTTCTTCTTGTTGTGGCTGCCGCACTGTCTCTTCTCCTGCTGGGAAGTTAAATTGATTTCTGACATCCTAAGAACACTTGGTTTTTGTTTTTCATTAAGTTACATCACACTAGATAACCTGTTTCTGTGGCAGAATCAATTCTTCTACGCATATTTATAAGAAATAGCTCACAAAAGTAACTATAGAAATTGCCTTGTGGATGATTTTTTTTAATGGATAATAAACAAGAGGCTCTAATTGCATTTGCGTTATTGAAGTCAATATATTTGAATTCAGAGTAGCAAGAGTAAACATTCACACATTGCTAAATTGTCCTTCATCAACTTTGAAACACAGTTAGCATTTATGGTCAAATCTGTTATATTACAGCCCTTAATGGTTTTTGTCTGAAAATATTCCGTTGCAGTATATTTTCATGTCATTGTATGATACTACTTTGATGTTTCCATTTGAACATAAAGAATGTTACCTCCTTACATTGTCTCTGTTTTTATATTCATAATATTAATTTCCAGACTGGGAACATGCTAAGCTTTTGCCATGCAGATCTCAACAGTCCCTGTTTTGTAGCTTGTACAAGTGAAATAAATTGCCCCTTCAAAATCCTGAATGTGTTCCATTTTTGGCAAGTTAAGTTGCAACTTTACTATATTTATTTATGCCTGAAAAACTACTAAGGCTTTTATAAAACACATGAAGAGTCCCACTATATAGATCTTGTTTTAATTTTGAATTGATCCTGCAAATTATTTCCCTTGAAGGATTTGTTTAATTTTGGTTTGCAGAATTCATTCTTGATACATCTCTTCCTCTTGATTTCCTCTTGTTTTGGTGCAGTATATTTCCACTGCTATAATATTTGTTTTTATGAATGTTTTGCTGCTGAGAATTCCTTATCTTTCTCTGGATATTTCCTCCTGAGATGTAAATTTCTCCTGTAGTTGCCTCCCTCTTTTTCCTAAGAGCTTGGAAGTCTGATTTTGAAATCTTTCCTTTCCTCAATTTACTTTCTAAGATCTTGAATCTATTTGGACAAGACTCAGATTTTCTTTAATCTGGAGAAAAAAAGTACTTCATGTTCCTTAGGCAAATAGTAGTCCAGAAAGCCATTCTTAGCCACTTATAGGCAATTGTACCTCTCCTTATTTCAACTTATTTTAGTTTTTTGCAAGAAAAAACTAAATATGCCGATAAATTGCCTACATCTTTAAGTCTTCGTTACAAATTTGTAATACAAGATAAATTTGAAAGTTTGTGACTTTTTGTTTGAAATAGGTTCCTCAGTTTTTCCCATATTTCCATGCAATGTCTTTATCTTCCATACAAATAAGCAGATTAGTGCAGCTGGGGATCCATGCCCAGTAGCTTGTTTGCAGTATCCCATGTTCCTTTCCAATTTCATCTGATATTGGATCTAAGGCCTTGGACTAGCTGTGGCGCATTCATCAGTGTTTCATTACTGTCTACTACTGTGTATCACAGCTGGCTATCTTGTTGTTAAGTAATCTGCTTCTTTTGAAGACATTTCAGCAACACAAATACCCTTATACACACCAATTCCTTCCCTTTCCCTACCCCCAAACTTTCATATTTTCTTTTGAGTTGGGTACACATCAGTGGTGGGATTCAATTTTTTTTTTACTATCGGTTCTGTGGGCATGGCTTGGTGGGTGTGGTAGGGGAAGGATACTGTAAAATCCCCATTCCGTCCCGATCAGCTGGGACTGGGGAGGCAGAGGTAAGATGGGGGCAAGGCCAGTCAGAGGTGGTATTTACTGGTTCTCCAAACTACTCAAAATTTCAGCTACCAGTTCTCCAGAACTGGTCAGAATCTGCTGAATATCACCTCTGGCGCACATGGGAAGAACTTAGTATATCGGTAGTAGACTGTGCAGTATGTGGGAGCAGCTTTCTGCAGCCAAAGCCAGGTGCAGAGAGAAGTAAAAATAATAGGAATATGCATATTGTTTAGCATTTTAAATAGTTCTGAATCTCTGCTCTAGAAGGAGCTAGAAAAAGCTTTTTGACAAGGTCTAGCCATTTTTTATTCTACCTAGGTATCATTTACTGAAAATGGGAAAGCAGGCTCCTTGCAAACTTGAAAAATCATTTCATGTCCGAACAAAAGGCCAAAAAATGAACTGATCCAAATATGTATAACACCCTTTAAAAGTTTTGTTTTTTCTTGGTATGTTTTGTTAAGTCTGCATCTGGTGGAAAGTTGTGCTGTAGTACATGCTCTTCACAAACTACTACCTAAGGAGAATATGGAGGCAGCTCTTTGCAGCCATATGAGTGGGCATAAAGTATAATTAAAGATGGTGACTAAGCCAAAAAGCTCTGTTACTGAGCATATGTGTTCTCATCTCTCTCCCCCTACACTACATATTGCATTTTAACCGAGGTTTGAGGCTCACTATTAAAATTGAAATAGCTGCCAGTTTGGAATTGCAGTATTTGCAGAAATCAGATTTTGTACCCTACACAGATTAATGGCCTTAAAAGGGCTTTTTGACTTCTGCAAGTACAATTTAAGTGAATTAGGTTCAGACTGAAATATTTCTTTTGATTTCCCAGTTTTCTTCCCATTTGAAAAAAAAATGCATATGTTCTTCTATTTTTTTTTTCTTGGCATACTTTAAAATATTTTGAGATGGGGTTTTAGATTTTGTGATGTGATGGAGAATACTGGAGTTTGGGGTATTTTTCATCACTTTGTTGTTCCCAAGGCAACCTATCCTTCTTGGTGTGACAAACCCATGAAAGACTTCATTGATGTCTTATCAGGGGATGTGAAGCCAATGAGGCTGCAGACGGAGAAATTATTGTTCTGTGAAAATAGGACACACATCCTTTAGCTACCTTGTGGACTACATCTGATGCCAGCACACCATCCATCTTGCTTGCTAAATGAGAAACTTTTACCCCCTCTGCTTAAAAAAAAAAGCATGCCCAAATTCTTTCTCACAAAAGAGATGGAATAGTCAAGTATGAAGAAAATAAAAATCTTAGTATAGCAACAAAGTCAATTGTTAAGAACACATGCTTGGCATTTTAAAACAAACATTCTATATATTGTTTTCAACAGAAAAAGAAGATGAGCAAATTACAGTCAGCTTTTGGAATGGGAAGAAAGCCAAAGTTCCATTAGGCCTCGCTTTATGGATTTCTCCAGTGCGGTGGGAGACAATTGTAGAGAGGATCCATTTGCCATACACAAGCAGGAAGCAGTTTGAGGGGCCACTTCACAGGCCTGGCTGCTACAATTGTTCACATGGAATTATTCCAGCTTGTGTTCTGTGTGATTTCCAAAGGTGCTGGTGCACATGTTGCTGTTTTACCCGTCCTTGCTGTGGTGATTTTCATCACACATGCTTATTGCCTAGACACAGGCAATGTGTATCCTGTTGCTGCCACTGCTACTCTAAATACAGTGGCTGGTGGACATGGCCCTCTTTAGCCGAATTAACCTCCGGAGATTTTAAAAAAGAATTCACTAGTAAGCCTACAACACCATTTTTAGCAATAGAAGCCTCTCCCGAAGCAGAACATGATGCTGTGCTACCCAGTTCTTCCTCATCCTCCTCAGAGTCTCAATGTGAAAGGGACAAAAGTAGCACTGAGAACACAATGGTAGATCGTGCAGTGAACACAGATTCTAGTCTTTTTGAAAACCTCACCTTACAGGAAACCAGAAGACCAGAGTGGAAGTACTGGAAGAGAAGCCAACCCACCTTTGTTTATAAAAGCCAAGGTACACAAAATCTCCCTTGATGGATCTCAAATAGATATCTAGAACCTGTTGTTTTCACATACAGGGTGAAAATCAGGCCACACGGTAATTCACATGTGTAATTCAAACATTTCAACCCAAATATAATCTGGTTTATATGTTGTTTAAATCAAACCATTTTGACTTAGATTTGATTTCTTAGCATTATGTGTAAAACCCAGTCATTGTCTCATGTGAGTGTATATTAAGTAATAATGGTTGGCCCAAGATTTGTTAAACTTGTCCTTCGCCTTTATACATATATCATAAGGAGGGGGAAGAGAAAGACATTGTTTCAGAGGTTCTACCAGTTCAGTCTGATTCAGCTGAACTGATGCCATAAATACTGCCATTTTTTTTTGCTTCTGTGCATGCACAGAAGCATTTTCCCAATATTGCGCATGTGCACATAGCGGCCGGAACCCACCCCTGCATTGTTTGCATCTACAGATGTTGTTTTCTGTGGATCATACTGGCTAGGATGCTTGGAATTGCCATAAAGTAACATCTCAAAGACAGTAGATTCTCCAGACTTGGCCTGCAAATCAGAGAGTTTTATGAATATTACAGTGTTAATGGAAGTGAAGTACTCCATTATAGACATATTTGAGAAAGGGCAAATAACCACTTATACTAGCTTGGTTAGTTTTCAGGAATAATGGATCATGATCATTTGGACCATGTGTAACATCTAATTTATGAGTGTACTTCAACAGGAAAAAGACAAAGAATGTTTTATGATGATGGAGGGCACTTCTACATGGCAGTTGTAAAGTGGTGACATTTTGTGCATGAGTTGGCAAAAATCATGCCACCCTAAGAAGAATTGCACTTTCAACTCCTGCTCAATAAAGAGAATAGGAATTTCATCTGAGCCATAAGTGGAGGGAAGAGAGAATTGGGATGGGGACCATTGCCTCTGGTGCTACCACAGCTACTAGAAGATCATCTAGGGGGCTCCTGCTGCTAGTTCTCCAGTCCCATGGAGTCTTTCTCCCCTGCTTCTCTTGCCCACTGCAGATTTCTTCTGACAATCATGGTTAACAAGAGAAGTGGAGGACAGGCGGCAAAATGAGTTTTCTTTGCATTAGTTCTCCTGGCATCAAAAAGAGCCACATGCCCCATTTCCCTTATCAGCAGGGAAGCTGGAAACAGCTCTTCAGGTAGCATCCCACTAATAAACTTGTAGAAAGCTTTACTGTGAGAGGACTGGCTATAGAAACCCATGATAAAGCTATTCCGCAGCGAATTTGGTCCCCATATTTCTCCCATTATACAGTTGTCCTCTCCCACAGCTTAGCTTCTTCAATAGTGGAGGAAAAATGGGAAGGAAGGCACTGTCCTATTGGGGGTGAGGGTGGGGAGCTTAAAGTTACTGCAGGGGCCCTGGCTGAAAAGCCAGTTTTGTCCCACTTCCTCTGATCTCTGAGAGGAACCAGGATTAACATGATCTTTTTCTGCCCCTCTTGATTTGAAAAGAGATGTAGGAACGCCTGAAATCTACTGCTAAAAGTGGGTGACCCTGAAAAATAAAGTGGCAAGGTTGGGGCAAAGCGTGAAGTTTCAATTGGCCAATAGGAGCAAGGCCAGCCCCAGCCCAATTTACCTTGGTAGGATGCACTAGAGACAGACCAGATAGCATGACTTGTTCTGGGAAAAGCTAAAAATGGCCCCTTGAAAGGCAAGTGCAGACAATCTTTTGATGGGTCAGAGATGAGTTGAACACAATGTCACCCATACACATCCTTTAAATCTTTATGCTGAAGGTTTGCCAACTTTCTGTTCACAATTGGAAGATAGCATTCCAGCCAAGGCATATTTTTCTTTGCAAAAGCCGCTTCTGATCCTTTGGCTACATTTGGACGGAGCTCCCTAGAACCTCTTCAGCTGACAAGTCAAAGTTGATTTCCATTGCATTAGGAAAAGGATGTTAAAGCCAAACCACAGGTAAGGTTTCCAACAGTGCAATCTGTAAAATGGTTGCTGCGATAATAGAGAGGTCAGTTTTCACCTTGCCTGCATACATGCAAAATACACAAAGTTAACAAATGCCAACAAATTTCCTACTGAAATCCAGAGGTATATTAAAGCAGGTCAGTACTAGGTGGTTATATATTATCATGCGGACACTCAGTTCATGCGCCTACATATTTTGGAATGCATTCAGTATTTTAACTTTTTTGTGTTCTGTGATAAAAGAGTTCTTTGCTATAGGCAGTTCTGCCAAAATTGTTTCTAAGAGAGTAATATTAAACCAATTTTTCATTTTCCATTATTTCACTGAAATTAGTCATTGAATTCAACAGACAAGCAAAAGCCAAGAATTTATGCGCTGTGGTGGCGCTGTGGTAGTGCAGGCTAATTCCGCTGACTGCCAACTGTCAGCAGTTTGGCGGTCAGTAAAATGAGATTGTTGGGGGCAATATGCTGACTCTGTAAACTGCTTAGAGAGGGCTGTAAAGCGATATATAAGTCTAAGTATTATTGCTATTTCTATTTCTAAGAGAACGCCACCAAGGGAACAATGTTACTGATAGTCTACTTTTATTTCACATTAATAACCAATCAAGCTAAAGCAGATTCATGGGGGTGGATAACTACCCTTTCTAGCATTAAAGTACTTAAAACAGAACTAGTAATAGGGTTGAGTTCACACATTATGCTAAGTGACAAATCACATTATGATTTGCAGGGTTCATCTATCGAGTCCTTCTCGTGGATCTCAAGATACTCTGCTTGTGGATTTCTGACATTTTGTAGAGTCAAGTTTCTTTTCCAACCTTTCAATCTATAATTGTTATAATATCATCTATAGGAGCCAACACTGTCAGTAGCAGCTGCAGAAAAGAAAGAGCTGACAACAAAGCCATTTCATCTGCAGATGGATATCCACCAATTCTGTACAACCACAGTGCTATATTTGAAACCATTGAACAGTCTCGTCAAAGGGATCTTTCGATGAAGAAAATCTTAAGCCACGGAATTACTAGCTCATCATGGGGAGGTTAATTATATATAGGCTTGCTACCCCCTCTTTCTTTCAGGAATGCAAGATGGAACTACACAGTAGCATTGCTTATAAGATTCTCTTAGCTTTTTCGTAAGTTCTTCTTGCCATACTACTGAAATCCTGAACAACACCAGGGTAAAGTAATTTTGAAGTAACTGGTTTTTTTAAGTTTGAGACTAGTCATGCCACAAAAAAAAGGATCAAATCAATATGCTTTTAGCTAAATGACTCTGTACTAAACATTAGATGCTGATGAGTGTAATGGATTTAGTCATTTAGCTTTAGCCAGAATGTACTGTTTGTTCTATCTACAGAGAAGCAAAATAAAATTACTTTTCCCTACTCTACTCCAACAGTGCCAGAATTTTAGGTGAACAAAACACAGAGCAGAATCAAGTGTTCGTAAAAAAGCAATATCATTATCACAATTTATTAGGTACAAAGAATCACATAGCACAAAAGTAAAAATACATTCATGATTCAAATTGCAGCAAATGTTAATCAAGTTCAAGCTATAACAGTTAAAAAGTAAGGTAGAGAAGAATACTCAATATATTAGGTATGAAAAGATGACACCTCAGACATTGAAATTGATTTTAATTTTCATTCTTAGGAGGTAAATGAAAAACCAGATTTACACTTTCTCCTGGCTGAACATTTACTACGTGTGCTTCTTTGATTGTGTCATCATATGAAGTTGTGTTGATTATATATGAGCCAGGTGACACTTCAAAGAGGATCTCCTGCAATGAACAAAATAAAAACCCTTCAATTTTAAAACACAAAAACAAACTTCATCGGGGGGATATTGTTCTTAACAAACAAATGAATTAAGTTTAGTACATTGTAGGAAAAAGAATTTACTCTATTGATCAATCTATGTGAGCTGAAATATATTAGGTAAAATCTACTGGAGAAAGATAGTAACAGTTCATCAGAGATTAAGGCAGCAATTGTCCTGGCAAATACATTGTTGAGTTTTCAGCCCCAAATTATGTTATATTCCAATCCATTGTGTCACTGGGGTACCCATAAATATTACATGTTTATTTCAAGAAATCTTTCAATCTGTACACTTTATAGCATGATATTCAATACCTTGCAAGTAGATTTTTATTGAGGCAATACAAGATTTCCTTCCTCTTTTCTCTTGATTTTGAAAATTTGTCTCAGTGTGAGTGTATTTGTGTGTGCAAATGAAAATTATTATATCTGCAATTTTGTGGACAGGTATAAACTGGTAATGAATTATACAGAAAATGCAAAATGCATTAGCCTTTTTTTTTGTATACTTTTTTATTTTCCGTTTTCATAACATACAATCACATGTATACTATACATAGCCAGTATCCCATAGTATTAAATAGTAATTACATCAGTTCCTCTTGTCATCAACGCCCAAAAAGATAAAAACCCATTATTAGCTCTTCTGCTCTCCATACACCTCTTTCTTCTACCTCTCTCCTACCTCCTATCTTCCCTCCATCATCCTTTCCTACTCTACTTCCCCTTCCTTTCTCCTGCCCCTCTCTCTACATTCCACTCCTCCTTATCCTCCTCATCTTCCCCCCTTATCCTCCTCATCTTCCCCCCTTATCCTCC